AACTCTTGATTTCAGCTCAGGATATGATCTCAGGGTCTTGGGACTGAGACCTACATAGGACTCCATAGTCAGCGGGGAATCCTAGGGGAGATTCTCTCTTTTCCTCTCCCTATTCCCGTTCTATGTTTGTGCTCTCTCTCAATAAATAAATAAATCAAATAAATAAATAAATAAATAAATAAATCTTTTTTAAAAAAATTGTAAAAACACCCTAAAATAACAAAACAAAATCCCTAAGCTTTTCCAAAATTAAATAAATGCTTTGATATCCTAAATTTTGGATTTGACTTTTAAGCAGAAACCATGTGCCTCTCAGCATTATTAATGGTAAAGCAACTGTTTACAGTGGTTTTAAGCAGATAACACAAAGCTGAAATTTCTAGATTCAATACTGGATATTGTTATCAGGCTAGGATGTTAAGTGAATGTCTACTTCCATTTCCATTTGTTCCATTCCCTTATCTGATTATCTGTTGTAAGTTTGCTTTATTGACTAAAAAGAAAAGGCCTGTAATTCCAGACTTTCACATAACAGTTTTTCATTTTTGAGAGACTGAAAACCTTGGCAAGCTCCTATTTTTCATCAAATGTCATATTATTGTAATGACAAAGGGGGAGTATTTTACATGTATATGCAACCTAAACAAGAATGAGGTTAGGTGTCTTATGAAAAACTTTAACTTCTTGAAAACACTGACTGTGAAAGGGCAGTACAGGTAATGAAATGCCCTTTCTGCAATAAACACATTTAAAATGTATCCAAAGGAGGCATACAGAAATTATGTATCAGAGTGATATGTCACCTTCCAAATGCCTTTGCAGATACCATTTAATCTATGACCACAACAATATTTAAGCACTGGGAGGGAGAATGGAATCTAAGAGATCTTTATTTAGGATTAACAGAGTCTTGGGTTCCGTAACTAAGATAGGGAGGAGAAAATGTATTTTCTTATGAGAGGCAATTATGGCAATTGAGGAATTTTTTAACAGCTTTTCTGAGATATAATTCACATATCATAGGATTCACCCATTTCAAGTGTACAAGTTGATTTTTAGCATATTCACAGATATATACAACCATCATCATGTCAATTTTAGAATGTCTTCATCATCTCAAAGAGAAATTCTGTATCTTAGGCTATCACCCACCCCCTCCAACATTCCCATCCCAACACTAAGTGGCCACTACTCTACTTCGTGTTTCTATAGATTCCCCTGGTCTGTACTTTCATATGAACAGAATCATATGCTATGTAGCCTTTTGTGACTGGCTTCTTCCACTTAGCATGTTTTCAAGGTTTATTCACATCGTAGTGTGTATCCATACCACATTCCTTTTTTTTATGGCTGCATAATAATCCCTGGCATGGATATACCACATTCTATGGACTCATTTGTCCCTTGATGGACATTTGGGCATTTCTACTTTGGGCTATTAGCATATTAGTATGCTGCTATAAATATTTATGTACAAGTTTCTGTGTGAACATGCATTTTCATTTCTCTTGGGTATAATCTACCTATGAGTGCAAATACTGGTCTATAATAACTCTGTGTTTAATTGATTGAGGAACTGCCAGACTCTTTTCCAAAGCAACTGTACCATTTTGCATTCTCATTAGCAATGAGAAGCACTTTGATTTTTCCACATTCTCATCAATACTTGTTATTATTGAACTTTCTGACTCAAGCCACTCTAGTTGGCATAAAGTGGTATTTCACTGTGACTTTGATTTGCATTTTCCAGACTACTAATAGCACTGACTGAGCATTTTTTCCAAGTGCTTTTTGGCCATTTGCATGTTTTAGAGAAATGTTTATTTAGATTCTTTGCTCATTTTTTAAATGAGACAAAAATGAGTCAAATTTTTAATTTCTCTTATTATTGAGTTGTAAGAGTTCCCTATAAGTTCTGGATACAAGTTCATTATTAGATATATGATCTGGAAATACCTCTTCCCAACCTGGTGGTTGTGTTTTCACTTTCTTGATAGTATCAATTCCAGTATTTTTGAAGGACTTGAAAAGCCATATTTATTTTAATTAGCATAATTTTTAAAATTTTGTGTGCATATACTGGAGGATATACTACTAGTAAGGCATAGGCTTGTAATTGTGGGTTTTTCATTCCCATAGTAGGGGTGATAGATCACACTATTGTGAAAGAAAGCAAGAGGAGTTTACAAACTGGAAGCCATGGGTTTTCTTCCTAGTTCTGTTACTCACAGTGTAACTGACATTTGGCAAGTTAGTCACTCTCTCTGGTCTTGATGACCTAATACACAAAACGGGGGATTGAACTAAAACAGTCACTTTAAAATATGCTTTATCAGCAGAAAACATATTTTTAATGAAATATTAAGTGTACCCCTAATATATAAGAGAAATAAAAGGGTTTTTAGTTATATACATTTCTTTGAAACTCAAATCTATAATATTTATTTAAAATGTAATCACTGAGCAGAGAGTGGGTATATTAATACAAACATTTGAAACTCTAGATTATGGGTGACAGTTGCAATCCTCTACGAATGTCAACATTCAGTTTGGTTCTCTGCTCTGTATTTACTTAAAAAAATTCTAATGTTCAGTTGACTCACAAAGGATTTATTATAAATTGAATGAGTACTTTAAAAGCTTGCCTTGCATTCTCATAACACTCGTCAATTAAACAAAAAGGGCAGAAAAGTTTTTATTGGAGCATTGTTTCTATGGTAAGTGTTCTATGCTAAAATGTATCTCTTCAGAAGTAAATTTGAGTCAAGCATTTACAAATTCCCTGAAGCTCATTTCATAGGATAAAGTATAGTAGTCCCCCATTATCCACAGAAAATATGTTCCAAGACCCCCAGTAGATGTCTGAAACTGGTGATAGTACTGAACTTATATATCCTATGTTTTTTACTAGATATATAAAGTTGATGCAGATGATAAAGTTTGATCTATAAATTGAGCACAGTGAGAAATTAACAATACTGACTAATAGTAAAATAGAATAATTATAATAATGCATTGCAATAGAAGTTATGTGAATGTGGTCACTCCCTCTTAACATATCTTGTAGTGTACTCACCCTTCTTCTAGTGATGTTGTGAGTACATGAAATGCCTACGTGATGAGATGAAGTGAGGTGAATGACAGAGGCATTGTGGCATAGCATTAGGTTACTATGGACCTTCTGAGGATAGATCAGAAGGAGCATCATCTGCTTCTGGACTGTGGTTGATGATGAGTAACTGAAAACTTTGGAAAGAGAAACCACAGATGAAGGGGGACGACTGTACATAGAACCTATCAAGTACCAGAGCTCCTTGCCAACTTCGTAAATTTGAAGATTTATCTATAGTTCTTGTCTAGTCCCACTGGGATAACATCGGGGACTCCTGAGCTGGTAGGACCTCTGTGGTGACTGATATAATATAGTTAATTGGATCACATTCATTTTTCTTGAGAAAAGGACAGTTGGAAGAGGAGGAAAGGGAGAAAATGTCACACCTCATGGAAATAATCCCAAACAGAAATCCCTCCTCTGGCAGATATTAAGGATCCTTCTAACTCAGAAACCCTAGAAATTTGATAATAGGGGTAAAGAGAGTCTTTAGAAATGACGGGAACTTTGAAAAGACACGTTGTCAGGCATCCCACAGATCCCTGGTTCTGGAGCCTATCAGCAAACCTCCAACGCAGGAATCTGTCTGAAGAACAATTGTGAGCAATCCTTTGCAAATGTTGGCAGGGAAGGGCTTTTTAAGGCCACAGACCTTTTTAAATGTTTTACATAGTCACTTACTACCCATTTTAGCATATGAATAGGGTGACCACATAAGTTGTCACGAAATGATGGCACCATGAAAGTGAAAAGCAGCACTATCAATGATTATCCTAGGGCAACAGTTGTAAACCAGACTGTTACCAGGCAAACTGGAATAACTGTCATCCTGATGAGGAACCACCCCCTTCCCTAACAGAAGGCACTGCTAGAAAACAATTTGCAGACTTGTATCATTCACCTGGTAGAACCCAACTTTCCAACTTTTTATAGTATACCTTTGAAGTTATGCTAAAATATAAAGTGGTGAGTCAGCCTAAGTATCTAAGATGTTAAGGGGAAAAAAATTCACTTCTAAATTGAGGGTGCTGAGAATACACAAAAAAATATAAAAATAAACACTGGAATTATAATTAGTTTGCTAAATATGAATTTGATTTAATATAATTTATTTTAACGACATGAACAAAAAATTATTAGGTTTTACATTTTGGGAACTGCATGTTGGTTACAGACAAATTTTTTTGAGTTCTTACCATTTTTGGCTCCACTTACTGAATTTTTGATTTATGTAATTTGTCTGTTTATGTCATATCTATTTATTTTATAATCCTTAATAGACAAAGATCATGTCTTTTACCCTTTCTTCCTCCTTTCATTTCTTTTTATAGTACCATTTAGTTTATTCTTTGCATGGTGCATTCTCAAAACTGTATTCAGTAAGATTTTTAAAATTTATCAAATCCACAAACACTTGCTTGATGGCAAAGCATTTTTTTTTACTCTAATAATCATCAGATTATCATCTAGAGCTTTGCCATTCTTCTTCAATATCACTGATCATCTCAGGACTAAGTTCCCTTCTAAAGATACTAGTCAAAAATTTTTTTGCCCCATATCTGCATAATCTTAACTAGTCTACATTTATAGTACAATTCCTATAACTATTTATTGTTAGTGAAATGGAAAAATCTAAAACAAAAAAAATTATCATCCCTTCTTATAATTCAAGATATTCATAGAAGAAAGTTGGTTATCGATGATATTTGATTTAAGTTAAACTTCTGACAGTTACTTAGATATATGTCCAATAACATGGAATAGTTTACTATTTATTTTAATAGTTATCCATTTGAAAATAGGAGCTCATAGGAACGTCAACAGGGAGGGCAAGGATAAACAGGTTTGGTCTCCCTTTCTGTTCTTCCACAACTCTATACATACTTACCTCCCCCGAAAGGTCCCCATATAACTCGGCGGATGGACTTAACCCAGTCTTCCATATCATTCTGGGTGCTTGCCATAAGGAGGTAGCTCTCATGGTTTGCTGTCATCCGATCTCGATCACCTCCTGTAAGATAGTAAGGCATGAGTGTGTGCTCAGCTGAAGATCCCCCATCAGCAGCGGGGCCCTTGAAATGTACCTACCCAATCAATTGGAAATATTTACCATGGTTTCAGAGTGAAAAAAATCTGCTTAAAAAGGAAATGCTCTTATGTTTCCAGGGGAAAACTGGAGAACAAATGCCATTCCCCAAACAAAGCCTGCCTTTTTGTCCTAGCAACAACCCATAGGTCTGCACTGACTTATAATCCAATCTATTCACACTGCACTGCTGAATAAGGACAAATAAAAAAGCACAATGAAAGAGGGAGAAATAATCCACAGGGTCCGGATGTTCCCCGGAAGCAAGTGCTCAACAGTCTGAGTACTGCTTCATACGCACACAGTGGGGCCACCAGGACATCATGGGTGGCAGGGGAGTTCTAGGAAAGGAAAAAGAACCGCATGTAAAATTGTTGACCCAGGGGCGCCTGGGTGGCTCCGTGAGTTTACCCTCTGCCTTCAGCTCAGGTCAGGATCTCAGGGTCCTGGGACCGAGGCCCCCACTGAGCTCTCCGCTCAGCAGAGAACCTGCTTCCTCCCCTCTCTCTCTCTCTCTGCCTGCTTGTGATCTCTGTCTGTGAAATAAACAAATAAGTAAAGTCTTATTACAAAAACAAAAAACAAAAAACTTTTGACCCAGAGGTCCTCTTCTATTGTTCCGTGATGGAAGGAAAGCCTCTTCTCCAAGAACACATCTTCAAGGGGGCAAACAAAGAGAAGAGGCCTGGCCAGCCACAAAGGCCGAATCAACCCCTAGATGACCCTCACACCAAAAGCATAAGCTTTAGGAAACCCCAGGAGTGCCTCCATGCAAAATCTTGATGGTTTCTCTTATTTTGCCACCCCTCCAAAGAACAACCCATATACTTTTAAACCTTTATAATCTCTATCAACTTTGAAGTGCTAGACCTCAGATGTATGTGATTTAATTTCTTAGAAATGTTTTATAGCATATTTACATTTCCCTAGTGACTTAAATTTCTCATTTATAAAATGTACATAAGCATATATGACCTTGAAAAAGGTCTTGAGTCGTGGTTTTCCTTACTTCCTATTTATGGTTAAGGGAGTCTTTCTTTCTTTCTTTCTTTTTTAGGATTTTATTTATTCATTTAGCAGAGAGAGAGAGAGAGAAAGAGAAAGGGAGCGGTGGTGGGGGGAGGAGCAGAGGGAGAGGAACAAGCAGACTCCATGCTGAGTGTGGAGCCTGACTCTGGGCTCAATCTCATGACCTTGAGATGGTGACCTGAGCCAAGACCAAGAGTCATACAGTTAACCGACTGAGCCACCCAGCCATCCCTAAAAGAGAATTTCTGAAGATATGTATCAGCAACTATGCTGCTTTAGTCTCTTCGAAAATAATTAAAGTGCTGTCCACAGAAGGAGTAATTAAGGAAATGGAACAGAAAGATAATTAAGGAAATGGAACATTTAACTGAATTCTGATAATTCAGGGTTCAAATAGTTCAAATAAACTAATAGTTCAAAAAAACTAACTTCTGAGGTGCTTAAAATATCTATGAACATTTAAGTGTTCAAAAAGTGAACACCAGGTATTGTACACTTGCAAGCTTGGGTTGAATTCATTCATATCCTAGTGTCATGTTTGACTAAGACATTTTAATTTATTTCCAAGTGGATCCGAACCCCTTCATGAGAATCTTACAGGCTCCCATTCACAACAGGTCATCCCACCACTCACTATTCTTTCCCCTCCAACCTAATCTGCGTACAGCCATGAAAGCCATAGGCATCTGAATCTGTGACTTCTGAATTCTATCCAATTCTGTACAATAATTGAGAGATACAACTCTTCTACCACTGATGTAAACTTACAGAACATGGGAAGGGTCAAAGAAGTGAAATAACTTTAAGCAAATCAGATGAACAAGTAGAATTGGTGTTGTATATTTTAATACAACTTGTTTGGAGTAAGAGGAGGGGCTGAGGAACCACATCAAATTGGTGTCTTGGGACGACTGGGTGGCTCAGTCAGTTAAGTGTCTGCCTTGGGCTCAGGTCCTGATCCCAGGGTCCTGGGTTTGAGCCTCGTGTTGTCCTGTTGTCAGGCTCTCTGCTTAGTGGGGATCCTGCTTCTCCCTCTCCCTCTGCTCCTCCCCCTGCTTGTGTGCTCTCACTCACTCAGTCTCTCAAATAAATAAATGAAATCTTAAAAAAAATGGTTTCTTCATGTTTACAGAAGCCTTTTTTATTTTTAAATTTTATTTATTTGACAGAGAGAGACACACAAAGAGAGGGAACACAAGCAGGGGAAGTGGGAAGCCTGATGTGGGGTTTGAACCTAGGACCCTGGGATCATGACCCGAGCTGAAGGCAGATGCTTAAAGACTGAGCCACCCAGGTGCCCCCAACAGAAGTCTTGAATAAACAAGGCTAGCCTTCTGGTACTACAAAAAACACCTCACTGTTTGGGAAACAATGGCCCTCTTACACCTGTAGGTCCATCCTCAGTCCACTGTCACATTAAGCAACTTATATGCGAAAAAGCATAGGTTCAGGAGTCAGAGAAAACCCAGCTGAAATCTTAATTTCACCTTGTATTAACTGTTTGATTTCCGGGAAATTACATAACTTCTAGAAACTCAATGTTTTAGATTATGCTTTATGTATAAAAAATACTGACATAGTAAACTTTTGTGAGAATTCAATGAAATAAAATGAAAATACTAGCCTTATGTTAGGCTAAAGGAGAAATTCTGCAAATATTAATTCAGCCTCATTTAACTGCTTCCACACAAATATGAAAATAACATATTATATTTAATTTGACCTCCGAGATATTATGTCTAGCTAGTGCTTTGGAACAATTAGTCAATAGCATATATAGATCTCTATATATACATATATATATATACATATGGATTTTTACTACAAAGATATCTTTCTCTGATACATAACAATGCACATTAAAATTATATGCTGTACATGTATGTAAATATGCCACATATTAATATGCATGTAAGGTCATATTACATAGGAGTGGCAGAAACAACTAAATGACAACAGGAAGACATGCTTCATTTGGAGTGGCCCAGTGCTAACAATTTATTCTGTATTCTTATGCACTTACACCACAATGCTAGGCCCAAACAATTACCATTTCGAAATCAGAATATTTTAATTATTGCCTTTGCCTAAGGGATGCTTAGCCATTCAGAGGGCACTATCCTGCTGTGTCACTTCCAGCCCAGGCAAAGACAGCCTGGTAAGAGTGAGTGACAGCCGCTGGAGTGTGTTTCTGCCTGAAAGCAGGGAAGAAAGAGAATGATAAGCACAACTGGCCATTATCCCTTGACTTTTCATTTGATTTTCTATCTCTGCCAGTGGGGCTGTATGTCTGACCCTGACTCTCATTTAGACTGCCAATCACAGATATGAAATCCCATCTGTGAATTTCACCCATGGATATGAACCTTGATTCCTCAGTGTATTAACAAGAGGTGGGGAAAGATGAAAAAAACTTTACCTACCAGTCTCGGTGGAAATAGAGCCTCATTTTTATGAATGTGATTAAAACAATTGGAGACTTTTATATAAACATGAACTAGACACTCTATTGAAAACATGTGATTTCTAAAGAGAGATGCTGTCTGTTCTAATTCATAGCCCTTCCGGTCTAAGAGCTGGTACTGCACCTTGCAATTGAAGGGGCTCAAAAACAACTTACTAAATCTATGATCTGATAAATAAATTCAATATTGACCTTCAACCATGTGAATCAAGTTTCACTGTCTTTGCTTATCCTTTACAGGGCTTAATGTTCCATTTGACTGTTCATGGATCTAAAACTTTTTCAAAAGGTGAAATTTTAAAAAGCAGTCTTGAGATGTAATTATCACTACAGTAAGAGTGTCACAGTCATCTTCAATCCATATATGCATATATACATATGTATATGTGTATGTAATACAATATATGATATAACAGTCATTTTTTAATTCATTGTTGTTCAATTCTCCATTGTTCAATTCTGCTTGAAAAGAAATACCTGTGCAGCTTCCTTTTTATGTTTATTTTCATTTTATTTTATTTATTTTTAAAATTGTTTTAAAGATTTTTTATTTATTTGAGAGAGAGAATGAGAGAGAGAGCATGAGAAGGGACAGGTCAGAGGGAGAAACAGACTCCCTACTGAGTGGGGAGCCTGATGTGGGACTTGATCCTGGGACTCCAGGATCACAACTTGACCCGAAGGCAGTCGCCTAACCAACTGAGCCACCCAGGTGCCCTATTTCTTAATACTACTTTGGATTCGCGTACATTTTAAAAGGATACAATGTTTCAGAAAATTCTACATATCTTTTAGATATCAGCCTGGGTTGGTAGCAATGCTTTGGTGTTAGTGTTAATACTTCAAGTATTTGTGATTTAAATTAACTGAGTAGGTTACATCATTCAATTTTGCTTGTTTATATGTAATTGAAAATACATGTACATTTTACTGGGATCTTCTGTATATTTGCATTTGGTATAAAATTTTCTTTCCCAGGAATAATATAGATTCTTTGAAATTAAATAACTGACATAATTAACTTTTGCCAAAATTAAAAGGGAGATTAAGAAAGCTTAATGAATATAGTAGACTAAGAAAAAGGTTCATCTAAAATTAAAAAGTAGGCTAAAGAAATCTACAATAAAATAAATGCACAGTTAATTTAAAAAAGAAGTGCAATATCAATTAACCATATGAAAAATTTGACTCCTCTAATACTTATAAAATAATATTTTTTTTAAGATTTTATTTATTTACTTGACAGACAGAGATCACAAGTAGGCAGAGAGGCAGGCAGAGAGAGAGAAGAGGAAGCAGGCTCCCCGCTGAGCAGAGAGCCCGATGTGGGGCTCGATCCCAGGACCCTGGGATCATGACCTGAGCCAAAGGCAGAGGTTTTAACCCACTGAGCCACCCAGTGCCCCCTTATAAAATAATAATTTAAGAGATT